ATAGAGGTGGGAGGAATATGGGTGAAAGATGGAGGATGGGAAGAGAGGAGGAGGGATAGGGAAAGATGGAGGAGAGGGAGATAGGAGGAGGGATGAGGAAAAGATATAGAGGAGAGGGGTAGAAGTACGGATAGGGTGAAGATGGAATAGGGGGTGAGAGGAGGAGGGATGAGGGATTGGTGAGGGAGAGGGAAGGGAAGGGATGGAGAGAGGAATGGGGGAAGGTAAATCAAGGAATCTTTTCATTGACAACGAAGGATGGTTTGTGAGTGTGTGTGCGTGTGTGTGTTTGTTTATTTGTGTGTGTGTCTGTATGTTTGTGTGCTCACAAGCGTGTGTGTGTACGTATTCATGTATGTGTGTGAGTGCGAGAGTGCGCACGCTTGTGTATATGTTTGCATATGAGAGTATGAGGAAGAATGCCAGTTTGTCACAGGCCCGGTTTGTCATAGACCTTGACTGTGCCCTGCAAGATGGAAGTTATCACTGGCGCTCTAAAAAAGAGTAAATGAATGATTGATTGATTGTATGAATTGAATTTTATTTTTCAATTGATTTTAATGAAAGAACATTCATCATTAAAATTTTACATAGTAATTTGCTTTGATTTGCATACAAAAAAAGAAGAAATATTGAACAACACAAACTGAATCGACATTTTAAAGGGACTATCTTTACACCACCAATTTGAAGGTGGAGAAAAAAAAACCTTATTTACAACTACAGTGTCTAAGTGCTGTAATCATGACTGTCATCAATACTCAAATACTTAAATGACATTGTGACAAACTGGTCAGCCCCCAAATATGACTGTATATCCAGGTTTCATACAATAGGTCATGGGTTCGAATCCAGATAGCGACGGAAATTGTTCTTCTCAAAACAGTCTCCTTTCACCTTCTTTCCTGCTCTTAAGCAATGTTCTGTCGTCTGCTTTCGTCTCCTCTTTCTGCACCCACCCCCTCACCACGACCTTTGCCCCCTCCTCTGGGCTCCTGGATCTTTCTGCTGCTTTTCTACTGTTTCTCCTTGGCTCTTTCCTACTGCTGTCTTTCAGCCACACCATGATCTTATGGTAGAAAATAACCAAACCTAGACTTCTCGGACAAGGGCGAAAAATCTCGGAGGTCAATTGTGCAAGTTGCGAAAGTCAAAGATACCTTGTGGTCCAAAATCGATAAGAGTAGGATTTGGCCGCCACCCGGGTAAAATTCAAAATTTCCTACTAACTAAAATATGACCTTATGCAATTGAGGGCGCCGTAAAACACGTACAAAACAACAACAACAACAACAACAACAAAAAACTAAACAAAACTGTATATTATTATGAGTTTGATCTCACACAAATGAATCCCAAAGGACACTTTCTTTTCCAAACAGGTATCTCAACGCTGTCGCTCTAACAAGCCCACGAAAGAGCGCGGAGATTTTGCCGAGGGATGCTGGAGACCTTTGGTGTATGGAGACATGTTACCCATAGGTTTATCCAACACACAGACCATTGTTTACTTCATATGTCAGGTGAGAGGTCATGTGTGTGAGAGTGTGTGTGTGTGTGTGTGTGTGTGTGTGTGTGTGTGTGTGTGTGTGTGTG